TCTGGGTTAGAGAATTTTGTGACCTCGTTCTTGTGAACTTTTAATTCTTTGTCAGTGTAGTCAATTTACTATCAAATTCAGATAATTGCTATTTCCACCTCCTGAAACATTTCTCTTTTTGGTATGAAAAGCCTTTGTACTCTTCTAGTAAGAAGCAAAATATTTCATGTGCAAGTCTTTCCAAGTGAGAGAGATTGATACCCTTGGAGGATTGGGGCAATTATCAAGTCTCCAAACCCTTTAAAAGAAAAGAAATCTCTGAAGCATCTACTGAGATTTTAAATTGACAAAAAGACTTTTTTTTTTTTGAAGATGAAAAGCATTTGTAGATTTTTTTAAAAATTACAATATAAAGGTTAATGAAGCAACTCAATCATTATATTGTAATTATTTTAAAATCCACAGCTGCTTCTCATCCTCAAAAAAAGTTCTAACTCTTTCTGTGCACTTACCTCCATTCTTTCTGTGCACTTAGCTCCTCTCTCCTGAGGAGGAACTGGCTTCAGAGCTCTCAGAGCTGACCAGATGCAGTCAGTCTTCTTCCTTGGCAAGCAATGGGTCTTCCCACAGATCTCACATGCTGAATGTCCCAGGAGCCATTCTGAAGTGTACATCAAACTTTTAGTTATACGTTTGCCAAAAAAGCCACAGATCTGACATCAGATTCACTGTCACAGGGGACATGCCATATACTTAAATTCTATAAACCTGAAAATGGGATACTTTTTAATACTTACTTAAATGTAAATCTCACGTCATTCAAGAGGTAGAACTATTTTGAAATATTCAGATTTTCAGTCCAGAATTATGAGAAATAAAGCCTCATTTATAGGGTAAAGTTCTCATTTAATGCTAAATATGGTAGTATCAAATTTGGTGGTTTCCCTGCTTGATCTACACTTGGTTGTGGCATCTGCTCTTGACAAATATTCCTTAAGGAACTATGATGTCTATACATAACATTGATCAGGAAAAAATATGATCCTAAAGTTAAAGTATGAAATAAAACAGGTGCTATATGAATGCAGAAGTGACAAATTTTTCTGCCATGTATTAGTCACCCATTGAACATATACAGGCCCAAGTGAAGAGTCAGTGCTTTTGAAAAAAGTACTTTCAAGTCCCTGAAAAGCGACCTATTTCTCGCTTATATAATCCCCCAAATTAATGATTTTTACAGTTAACTGAAAGCAAGCGAAGGTAGAGAACTTATTTACATTTTCTGTAGGTTTCCTTTTGTGTTTACCTTTGGGAGATTACACTTCTCTGCCTCTTTCTTTCTGGGAGAGAGTGGAGATGCTCAAGAAGTCTCTTACATAAAGTGCTAGGTTCATAATTCCAGGGATGCTGTCCTGTGGTTCACCCCTGTCCTTATAGGAAGACCACTCCATCCAGTTATTAGGAGATTCCCCTGGAAGGACCACGGCAAGGTAGAAGGATGCAGTCACTGCTTAAAGTAAGAAATATGCACTGATTCATAAACTTGATGTTTTCTTTCAGGTTAATATAAATAGTTATTGATACTAAAAGCTTAGCATTTTCTAGATAATATTTTCAGTACTATATTATATTTTAAGGAAAATTAGAATATGAATTTAAAAAGAGACGTGTCCATTTCTAAAATTCTAATTGATGATAATTAATTTTTCTCAGTAAATGCATATTTCTTTATCTTAGAGATGAATGTTAAAGGAATGTGGTATTTAAAGAGAGAGTGATGCTTTAGTTTGTTCTCAGCTAATTATACATATATCAAGGAAGTTGTGACTTTTGTAACACTGAGACAGCTCTTTTAAATGACTAAAACTTTATCATATATATCTAATAACTTCTGTGTGGAAGAAAAAAATGTAGAATGTGGAGTTCAAAATAATTAAGATTGGCTGGGCATGGTGGCGCATGCCTGTAATCCCAGCACTTGGGAGGCTGAGGCAGGAGGATTGTTGGGAGTTCGAGGCCATCCTAGGGTACAAAGCGAGCTCAAGGCCAGCCTGAACTGCATAGACAGACCCTGTCTCAAAAAGACAAAATAATAATGATAATAATTAAGATTAGCTTCACCCGTGTCTTGTTTCTAAAAATTTTTGAAACTTCTTGAGGAGGATATTTTATTTTCTTTTTTGCTCCTGTCCCTTGAGTACCAGTTGAACCAAATAATGTTTGTTTTGGTTGCATAAATATTATAAAGCCTTGTGTTTAATTTTTGAATTGATGTATAGTGAACTTCATGCTCACTTACATAGCTTCTGTGTCATCTAAGCTGGGTGGAGGAGATGGTTGTTGAGTGGAAGCGGTCTACTAAAAATCATCACAGATTCTCATCATTTATACCCACCTTTTCTCGGCAAGTACATTTTTTTCTGACTTATCATTGTTATGCTGTGCAATTTCACAAAGAGTAGTGATGGTATATTCTCTGCGTTCACTTTCCTTTGACAGATCATAAGACCTAGGAAGTCTGAGTGTTCAGTCTTTATTTGTGTAGGAGAAAGGAAACTCTCTTGACTAAAAGAAAACTTCTAGAAAACCAGTCTCCATTGTGATCCTCAAGCCCTTGCTATTGAAACATCTTCCACAAATCACCAAATTTGGTTTTGTGTCAATACAAGGACTTATTACACTTAAAATTACTATTAAAGGTTGAATAAACTTGGATTGTTATAAGGAGAAAACTACCCAGCAGTTAAAGGGGAAAATTATTGTTCCACTCAACTTAGATGGACCCAAAGGGCCTTACGCTGAGTGAAAAAAAATTCTCAGAGGTTACACATTGTATGAGTCCATGTATCTCCTCAAAATGACCAAACTGTAGAGAAGGAGAAAACATTATTGGTAATCAAAGGATAGAGATGAAAATGGGAGAGGGTAGGTATGACTATACTGAGGTTGTGTATCAGGGTTTCTTCATGGTGGTGGAACAAGGCTTTATCATGATTGCTGAGGAATTTGCCTGAATTACAACATATACATGGGGATGAATTGCAGAGATTTACACATAGATCCACAGAAACACAATTGTGTGTGTTCAGTGGTTGGAAGTTGAACAATTGGTCTACTTAACATTACTGTACTAAAGTCAATATTCTAGTTTTGCTATTGTCCTAAAGGGGTGAACAATGAAACTATAGGTAGAAGTTTGGTGAAGAGCTCAAGTGCACTTGGATATTGTTAAGGAGATTTTTATGAATCTGTATGAATTTAAAAAATAAAAATAAATGATTTGACACAAGGACAAAACATAGCCATATACACTGGGAAAATATAAATCATGTTTTCTTAAAATGGTAGTCCATGAACAGTGATTTTTTTCTTACAGATTTGATTTTAATCTACTATGGGGAAAGATATATTGAGTCAGAAGAATCTAAGGAAATAAAACTGCCAGGAAATAAAGAAGTTTGTTATTTTACACAACTTTTTAGAATTAAAAAGAAAAGAAATAAAAGCATCTTTTTATGCTAATAAAGTGTATATTGTTCAAATACTGATTAAAGGGATGTGAAATGTTAAAAATATGCATAACAAAAAGAATTAACTAAATTCGTTGTTTTATGAAAACAAATATGCTATCTATAATTATAATTGATAAACATTTTGATGATGTTAATTATATTTAGATCTTTAAGGATGAGAACAGAGGGACCTTTCATCTATGCCTGGAGACTGTAAAATCCCTCTTGGGAAGTTCACATCTACTATGATGAATTAGTGCGTAAACATGGATACCATTATTTCATCCTTTCCTAGTTTACCACTCTGGCGAGCTCCTAGGAGACACCCACCCTGGGTCTCATCAGTTCCAAAAGAATTATAAAATTTAAGCATATGGCATGTTCTCTGTGACAGTGTCTGATGTCAGATCTGTGACTTTTTTGACACCCTTTTGGCAAATGTATAACTGCCAGTTAGATGTACACTTCAGAATGGCTCCTGGGCCATTCACCTTGTGAGATCTATGGGAAGACCCATTGCTTAGCGCCAAGGAAGAAGACTCTGCATCTGGTCAGCTCTGATAGCTCTGAAAACAATTCTGCCTCAGGAGAGAGGAGGTAAGTGCACAGAAAGAGCACTTAGCTCTCTGAGGGAAAGGAAGGTGACTTAAGTCAGTCTTTATTTTTTTCACTCTCTATGTGGCTGAAAAATGAGGATAACTAACATATTGAATAGTAAGGGACTCAACAGTATGGAGCTCTGACTACACTGTCTGCATTTCCCTCATTTTAAGCATGGTGTGTTGGCTTCAATCTTAATCTGGTATCAAGATGACAATATTAGCTTCAGGATATAGATCAAGAACACAGCAGCATCAAAAGAAGCAGAAATCTGTTTCTTTCTTTAGACATTGCATATACTAGAAATAAAGTTTATGGCAATATTATGACTCTCTTTCACGCCTTTAGAAAAGATCATCAAAAGCACACCCATGCCCCTATCTTTATCCTCTGTCTACCTAGAGTGGAATAGAGTGGAGTACATAGAGAATTTGGGGTGTGCAGTTAATTATCAATCTTAAACCTCCAGGAATCTTCTCTGGACCCATAACTGATGTCATGGAATTTTGTAATAAAGTAATTGGAATCACTACTTCCTTCTAAGGAATTTCTTACTGGAATACTTACTTCTTATTGGTCATAACAAAGGAATGAAACTTCTAGTAGATTAATAGGAAACATGAGTAGAAAGTAGGAAGTGAAGGACCAGAGGAATGAAGAGTGATTTTCAAGACAAATTCACCCTACTGAAGCTCATCACCAGGCATATTGTTACCTCATCCACTCTACTTGCATCTTCTAGTAAGGACAGGAGAAACTGATAGTCACAGTTACTCAAGTAGATGAAAGAGTGATTCCAAAGTTGAGGAGGATGGTGTGGTAATACATTCATAGCCATAATATAGTAGAGAATTTACTTAAACTTTGTCAATCCTCTTCCCATAAATGAGAATTTGGAGAAGAACTGAGTGTTTTATTAATGAAATTCTCCTCTGTTCTTCTAGATTTTCAACAATGACAATGCTTTCTGGAAATGACTCCTTAGTGACTGAATTCATTCTTGCTGGGCTAACAGATCGTCCAGAGCTCCAGCTACCCCTCTTCTGCTTGTTTCTAATGATCTACATGGTCACCCTGATTGGCAACTTAGGTTTGATCATTCTGATTGCTCTCAGTTCTCACCTCCACACCCCCATGTACTATTTTCTCTTTAACCTTTCTTACATTGACCTCTGTTACTCTTCTGTTTTCACTCCAAAAATGCTGATGAACTTTGTCTCAAAGAAAAATGGCATCTCCTACATAGGGTGCATGGTTCAGCTGTTTTTCTTTCTCTTCTTTGTTATCTCTGAGTGCTACATGTTGACGGCAATGGCCTATGACCGTTATGTGGCCATCTGTAACCCACTGCTGTATAAGGTCACCATGTCTCAGCAGGTCTGTTCTGGGCTATCTCTTGCTGCCTATGCAATGGGCTTTGCTGGAGCCAGTGCCCACACAGGCTGTATGCTTAGACTGACCTTCTGCAGTGCCAATGTCATCAATCACTACTTGTGTGACATCCTGCCTCTCCTGCAACTCTCCTGCACCAGCACCTACGTCAATGAGGTTGTAGTGCTCATTGTGGTGGGTGTTAATATCACAGTCCCCAGTGTCACCATCCTAATATCTTACATTTTCATCATCATGAACATTCTTCATATCAAATCTAAACAAGGAAGATCCAAAGCCTTCAGTACCTGCAGCTCTCACATCGTTGCCATTTCTCTGTTTTTTGGGTCAGCAGCATTTATGTATCTTAAATATTCTTCTCCTGGATCTATGGAACAGGGAAAAATTTCTTCGGTTTTCTACACTAATGTGGGTCCCATGCTCAATCCACTGATCTACAGCTTGAGAAACAAAGATGTAAAAATTTCATTGAAGAAAGTGAAGATTAAAATTCAGAGCAGAGACATATTCTAATAAGAAGCAGTAATAAGGTAAAAAAATAGAAGGACATTAAATTTGTATTGCTGCTTTTAGTGAAGATATTTTATTCACTCCCATGGCACTTTTATAGATAATATTTTGTGTTGTTTTCTAACTTACCACTTATCATAAAGATAATCTTATTTTTTTCATTTACGTATGTTCCATGTTTGCACCAAATTTTCTAAATAACTAGGACCATGTGTAGCAATGAATGCATAACCCAATAATCTACACTGCTGCTTAACATCCCCTTGTCAGTGTGGTTATTCTCAATGTGGAAAAATACAGAGAATTTTGCTTTCCTATCTAAACACAGAAGTTACAAATATGATAGAATAATTCTCATTTATTTCACTATTGGAACTGGTAGAAGTTAACAGGATTTGATGCAAATCTCATTAAAAGTTCTATAAAGTTTAAAGGAGAATCAATTTCTCATGGTCTTTTTCTATTTCTCTCACATGCTTCTCTTTGTATTCTAGCTTTCTTGTTTCCTTTGACAATGGCAGTGTCTGTGCCATGTGCCACATATTTCTGAGAGTGAATCATTCCACTTATTATTGGAGAGATATGTACACCTCCACCTCTTTTTTATTATTTTAAAGAGAGTAGTAAAGGGGCTGGGATTTAGCTCAGCGGCAAAGCGCCTGCCTGGCAAGCGCAAGGTCGTGAGTTCGGTTCCCG